TATATATATATATATATAAGGAGGAATTCGTTTATTCTGAGAATATGTTTACTTAGACTTATTCCATTTATAATTCATGTTCTACATCAAATTTTAACGATTCAATTATTGAATTTAAAGTTCTTAATGCATAGATTAAGTTTGCAAATTTTTAAAAATTTGAAGATCATTTAATACTTCATTTTATTAATTCAAATTAACATATTAAATGATTTTATGGTTAATCGTCAATTTGAATTAATGAGACAAAGTATCAAATAATTTTTAAATTTTTTAAAAATTTACATATTTGATTTATGTATTAAGAACTTTAAATTTAACAATTAAATAATTAAAATTTGATATAAAATATTAATTATTGAGAGTAAATTTAGATAAATTTACTCTTTGGAGTAAATAGAATCTTCCTTCCTCTCTCTCTATATATATAAATCTATGTCCTCTTTTTATATACGATAATTATATCAGAAAAGCAAGGCCTTACCTCTAGCAATCCATTTTTGATATGAATAACAATCCGTAAGTTTATATAGACACTTCATCATCCTTGCAGCCGTCTTAGCCTTGAAGAAGTTCAACTTCTTCCATCCTAGATACGTAATATTTCAACCCTGAACTTTAAATATAAATATAGCTAAAAAGAGATTATGAGAAAGTGGTTGTAGGACATCGTGTCACACGAGAATGACATTGGCTACATGGTTTTGTATAGTACAACACTACGCATTTAGCAATGTCATCTCTCCTGCGACAAGACTTCCTTAACCTCTTTTATTTTCTGCCTTCTTTACTCATCTCATTGCCAACAAATGCTTATATAGAAGCCACCCGCATAGTCTACCTTTCTCGAATCAAGCGATACTAATTGTTGAAATAGTTGCCATTTATTTTGGTGGGGTACATGAAGAAGAAATGATTCTGACTAGTCAAGTTGAAGGTTTCAATTGAAAGCTACCTCTAGTGTTTTCATACAATTATGAGAAGAAAGCGATATACATTTACAAATTGCTTATTCGTTAGTTTCTTGGTGTTAGAAATGGGGCAACGAAAACTTTAAAGATGCTGTATTATTATTAAATTATATAAAATTACCCACCATCCACCTAAGTTTTGTGATAACTAAGCAGAAGTTTGTTGATTGTGTGGGGCTAAATCGCAATTCGTCTTGTTATTTGTTGATTTTTCACAAATCACAATTAGTGAAAATGAACTTTTTCATTTTTACTTGGTTTGAAGATCTTGTTGCTCGGTCAATGAAACTTGAAAACTTCAAAGATAAGTCGTTGCTAACCTTTCGGTGTTATCTGATAGTCATTAATTAGTGAGAAAAATTTCGGCGTGCTTGTAGCACAGTAGAAAAGTATGCGAACCATAATAAGGTGAAACGACATTGTGAGGTCAGCGAAATCAAACATATGACGTGTGAATAAAAGCTTGGCGGCGGTCGTCAACTCTAGGTTTGCGTTGCCGAACGTCTGCCAATAAAGACATATATACCAACAAATACAAGTCACCTCTAAACGGTAAGACTTGTTATACTTGATTCCTAATAAATAGCAAGTCACACTCCTCAACTTTAACATGTGATTGGTAATCTTTTAAATTTTTAAATTATAAATTATAGATCTAATACTTAATTATATAAAAGTAATTTATAAAATGAGTATTATTTTAACTTATATATTTTTTAATTATTTTATTTTTAATTTGATGTGAGATTTTGAGAATTTTTTTTTTAATTTTTAAACTTATAAATAAATATATATATATATATATGTATTTTTTTTTCTTTTCCTGCAAATTGAAATTTGTAGAAAAATTTGCAGAAAAAAAAAATTACCTGTAAAATTTTTCTTCCATTTAATAAACGTTACTTACGAATTTATTTTTACAAGAAAATCTACAAGAAACATGATAAAATTCTTACAACATTTTCTGTAAATTTTTACCATGAAAAAAAATTTCTATGATCATTAAAAAATTTTGTAGATTATTTTTCATAAAAAATTTGTAAATTATATTTCGCAAATAAATTTGCAAATTTTTTTTATAAAATTATTATTGCAAGAAAATTCATAAAAAAAAATTTGCGAATATTTTTTTGTAGGAAAATTCGTAAGAAAATGACACTTTTCTATTAGTGCAAGATATATATAACTTTTGTATTGAATCAGAGTGTTGAAATATTAATGGGTGTATTCATTCTTAAATTTTGGGATGAGTACGTCTCCTTCTGTGATGATTCTTCATAGATGAAATTGGGTACACTTAATGAATTTTTCTATTCTATCATTTTAGTATTGATAATCTTTTCCATTAAAAGATGAAAGTCTAATAAAAGATATAACATTGTAAGTTTTGGATGTTTAATTTGATCATATGTAATACATGATTTATTTATTGATTGCGATTAATGTTGTTATTTTAGAACTCTGTAGTCAAAGAATTTTAAGAAATTAAGTTATCTAAAAAATAGTCTCAAGTATAATTAAGTTGAGTTAGCTTTAGGAAAAATATATAAAAATTTTCATAAGACAAAAATTTCATAAGTTCAAATTTTAGAAAATCATAGAAAGAAGTTTCCTGAACCCAAGTTTTCTTCTCATTCTTCTAAACTAAGAACCCATCTCTTCTTCCTTTCTTCTAGTTGATCCACTTGGCTAGTTGGAGGATTTAAGCTCTCGAAGTTATTGGAAGTCTCGAGTCTTAGGTCATGCATAAGTTATTTCCTCTCTTATCCTTTTCTTGGTTTGAATCAACAAGAGGTAAGGGAAGATTTGTGAATTGAATTGTGATGTTGTATAATTGTTGTTTTTACTAAAGAATCATTTTTGCATGATTATAGTGGTGAAAATTATGAATCTAAGTGTAGTTGGAGAAGTGTTCTTGAGTGATTCTGGTATTAGATGTTTGCATGTGTTGTTTTGAGTTGGTTTGGTGTTGTTTATGATTTATATATGTTGTATGTTATGTTGCATGTTGTTATGGATGGTTGGATTTCAGGTTTTGAGACATTAGGTGGTTCTACTATATGCAAAAACAAGCATCGCGTCGAACGCACCTTCATTGTGTAAAGCGTGACTCAAGTTAAGGGGCTCTTTGCCTTGATCATGTCAGATGTGAGATTTATAGTGTCAAGCATGAGTTAGTGGGGAATCCTTTGACTTTGTCACGTCAGGCGTGAAATGAGTGGCCCCGGGCGTGAGATTTTAAAAATTATTTGACTTGATGATGTTGAGTCCTAGAGGTGTGGGCCAAGCATGATCAGCCTAATGGATCACTACTTAAGTGATGTCAAGTACAGGTTAAGTAGCATCGAGCGTGAGTTTTGTAGAAATTCTCTTCTTGATTGAGGCTGGGTGTGGGTTTTCCACACAAAGTGCGAGAGACTTAGAGGTTCTCAACCTCACCCACACTAGATGTAGGAAGATTGACGTTAGACATAAGCGTGACAGAAACCTCTTTGTCTCAATAATGTCGGGTGTGCTTGGAGTAATGTTGGGCATGATATATTAAAATGAAGTATGACGTTCTAAGTTATTTATATGTTGAAATATGATGAGTTGTTTATATAAATCATGATATTTAAAGTTGTCTATGATGTTTTAAGATGAATTATAGTTGAAGAATGATGCTTAAGTTGTAATGGTGAATGTTGTATGAGGATAGTCCACTATGCATTAGTTTGAGATGATGCATATTGATGTTTATGTTGTTAATGCATTTCACTGGATAGTCAATCACTTCTTATTTGATCAAAGATGTTGTTTGATGTTTATTACCTTTATGATTAAAAAAGGAAGGAACTATAACTTGTGTCAATCCTCTAACCTTGCAAATTTTGAGCTAAGTTTGCAAATTTTAAGGGTCATTAAGAAGTTCTTATTCCTTTTATCTGTCAAGGTAGACATCTAAAACAAATTATTGAAATGTCAAACATATTAAACAACATAATAAAAGCATTCATTTAAATACAGAGAATATGTTCAATCTAAGTAAGGGACATTTTAAAAAAAACTTTTTTGTTAAAGATATTATGCGATAAGATGTACTCGTCTTATATCATTAGTCTTTTTATGATTATAAAAACATATATGTTTATTATCATTAAAATCATAGTTTTCAAAATTGAAGTGATCAGTTGAACTAGTTCAATCAGGAACCTTCCTTAACTAGTATCGATTCAATTGGCAACCTTCCATAACCAATCAATTGAGTTGGAATTTGCAACGAACTTGTGAAAAACTAGTAAAAAAATTGGCCAAACTAGTTTGAGCTTATCTAATTAGTTTTTTTTAATTTAATTTAAAATATTTTTAATAAAAATAGATATTTAATAAAAATTATAAATTAGAATAACTTATTTTTAATACTTGTCATGCAAATATAATTTAATTATTTATGTTAATTTGTATTTTTAATATCTTTATTTTTATAATTTATATTACATTAATTTGATTCTTTTTATTCTAAATTAAACTTGTTATTATTAATGAAAATTGTTATATTTTATTAAAACTTAAATTTAAATTATCTTTAGTTTAGAATTTTACATATACATTAAATGTTAAGAACCTATAAATAATATTTTATTTTAATTTTTAGTGTTATAATATTATGTTATTATATTTATTTAGTATTATTTTTGTATTAATAATAATAATTATTTTATTAATATTGACTTTATAACGGTTCAACCGTAATTGAACTATTGAATCTTAGGGGGGTGTATTGGATTAGGATTTTAAAGGACTCCCGTTCTGGAATCCATTTTTACACTGATTGAACATCATTGGAACGGCCCGTTTCCAACAAACATTTTTAGGCAAATTTAGAACCTTGGAATGGCCCGTTTCCCTTTGGGAACGACCCGTTCTGAAAAAGCCCATATAGGCCATTTTACACATTTGGAACGACCCG